GTCTAGAACACTAATAATAACAGCAACTGCAGAAAAAAACAACAACTATAGCAACAATATTCTAAATCTTGGATAAGAAGTTAGCATTGAAAAGAAACAAACTAGCCTGGCATGGGGGCATATGCCTGTAATCCCAGGGAATGGATTTAGGGAGGCTGAGGAAGGAGGATCACAAATTTAAGGCCAGCCTGGACATAAATTGAGCTCCTGTCTCAAAAAATAAAAAGCACCAGGGATGTAGCTCAGTGGTAGAGCAAACCTGGCCATCCCCCAGTATAAAAATAAATAAATAAATTCTAAAAAAGAAACCGGCTTGAATAAATAAAAATGTATTGCTTTTTGTAAATGACATGACTGCCTACAAAATGCAAGGAAGACAACCAAACAAAGCAACAGCAGTATGTGTGTGTGTGTGTGTGTGTGTGTGTGTGTGTGTATGTGTGTGTGTGTATCTCCTGGAAACATAAGTTCAAAATTATAGGGCACCAACATATCAGTTCTTAAACAAATAAATGTATCCCTATTAAAGAAGATACAGCACAAATGGCTTCTATTTTCCAACAGAACAAATTATAATCAAGGTTTTGTGTGTGTGGCACATGGCATGAATACATGGAGAGCAAAACTTTGGGAAGACAGAATGTCGTGAAAGAAAAAAATATATATACTGTAGTTGAGTGGGTGGCAAACTTGCAAATTCACTTTACCACTGAGCTACATCCCCAGTCCTTTTAAAGGACTGCACGGGCCACTTAGCAAGATCCTGTCTCAAAATTAAAAAATTAGGGGCTGAGATTGTGGCTCAGTGGTAGAGTGCTTGCCTAGCACGTGTGAGACAATGGGTCCTATCCTCAGCACCACAGAAAAGTAAATAAATAAAACAAAGGTATTTTTAAAAATTAAAAGGGTTCAGTGGTAAAGTGCCCCTGGGTCCAATTCCCAGTCCCCACCCCCAGAAAAAATGTGACTCTATAAAAGAGCTAATCTAATATCAATTGAAATCTTCATTATATTTTCATAAAACATAACATGTTGGTTGTAACAGTAATCAGGCAAGAATCTGAGGGATATTTTTTATAAGTAATTACGAAATAAATGAATACACAACTATGATATCATGTTTACCTCCACAGATCTTGTTGAGGCACTCCAAACCAAAGTGACTTCATTATCAAAATCTTGTAACATCCAAAGGAAATCAGAAAACTTATCATTCAACATTGGTTAAGGACAAGCTGCTCTGGGCCAAGTGTTCCTCTGGAGGCCAGGAAAGGTCACGGAGAAGGAGGCAATGAGCAAGAAATACAGATACGTGGGCAGGACAATTTCAGAGGGTGAACAGCACCACAAAGTGAGGAGGGTTGGCTCTCAGAGAAGGTCTCTCTGAAAAGGTGAACTTTGGAGCTTAGATCTGCAGATCTGAAAGGGGTTTCCAAAAATACTTCCAATTKATTGTGTCTCCATAGAGTTGCTTCTGGGGACCTTCTATGAGCAAGGCTAAGTGTTGTCACAGAGAGGATGCAGAGATGAATTCAGCAATTTTAACTTAAATTCTGACCTTGCTCTTAAGGATTTTATAATGGACATTAAACACCAAGACAGGAGAAAATGTTTTCAATGTACATGGCAAGGGGTTCCTACACATCAACTGAGAAAAGACAAAACAAACATAAGAGAAAATGCTCACAAGACAATAAAGAAATGCAAATTACAACTACAAAGTAAGCTGGACACAGTGGCACACGGCTATAATCCCAGTGACATGGGATGCTAAGGCAAGGAGAATGGCAAGTTCAAGGCCAGCCTGGGCAACTTAGCAAGACCCTGTCTCAAAAAATAAGAAGGATTGGAAAAATAAGAAGGATTGGAAAAATAAGAAGGGTTGGGGGGGTGTATAACATCCCTGGGTTCAATCCCCAGTACCTAAAAAATGTCTACAAGATTAAAACAACAACAACAACAACAAAAAAAAAAAAAAAACACTACAAGATAACAAGATAATCTCTGCCTGGTGTAATAGTGAAAAATGTAAGTGATCAAGGTCATTCAGTATGGAGAGTACACATTCTTGCATCTACTTGCTGGGATCTAGACAAAAAAAGCCCTAAAAACAATGGGTAAACTATTTTAAGATTTTTTTAAAATATATTTTAAGATTTTAAATGAGAGTTTCCTATGTTTCAGCAACAGAAATAATTCTGTAGACATAAAAGCTAAAGCTACCTATAGTACAGATGCTATGAGGCAGTGTTTTTGTTTTGTTTTGTTTTTAGTTTTAGGTGGACACAATATCTTTATTTTACATTTATGTGGTGTTAAGGATCAAACCCAGTGGCTCATGAATGCTAGGCGAGTTCTCTGCCACTGAGCCACAACCCCAGCCCCTGAGGCAGTGTTTTTAATAGTTAAAAAATAATTGGAAAGCATCTTATAAATCCATCAGAAGTGGGAATGATCAAAGAGGCCTTGGTCAACACAGAATATGCTTTGCAGCTGCTGAACCATAAGCTTTATGCACCTGACAGGTTGATTAATGAAAGCAAGATTGCATGATTGTATAAAATTTAAAAATATATCTCCACTTAGGTCTCTATTTGTATAAACACAGAAAAAAGACTGAAGGGTATTGACTGTAGTCATTCTGGCCATGGAGAGTTGGAAGGGAAGGGGAATGGGACTCTGAATCTTTATTTTACATTTTTATTGGTATATCATGGTACATGATGTACATTATTGGTAAATTATGATTACACATAATAGCAGGATTCATCGTGATGTATTCGTACATGTACACAACATAATTTGATCAATTTTATTCTCCAGAAACTCCTATTTTATACATTTTTTTAATAGAGAAGAAAAATCTAATCTATTAAGGAAACAGACTAACCCTGATTCTAGCTGGGAAGGAATCATTTTTCACTTGTAAATTTCGAAGGAGAATTGCATCAGTACCAAGATGGATGTTTTCAGATATGGTCATATTTTAAAAAATCTTGTCCAACCAAAATGCAATTAAATAAATACCAAACAACAGAAATGAAATATGCATGTGATATGCATAACTGAAAAAAWATATATATATATAAATGATTGATAGAAAAACGGTAAGTACTGCAGATCCTTTTTGAAAGGAGATAAAAAATATTTGCACATAAAACATTTAAAGTCAGAGCACTTACTGAGTTGTCAAAGGTGAACGGAGAGATAAATACATCATTTTAAAATGAGGAAACAGCCGGGTGTGGTGTTGCCTGTCTATAATCCCAGTGGCTTTGGAGGCTGAGRCAGGAGGATCATGAGTCAAAACCAGCCTCAGCAACTTAGCAAGGCATTGAGCAACTCAGGGAGACCCTGTCTCTAGATAAAATATTTTAAAAGGGCTGGGCGTGTTGTTCAGTGGTTAAGTGCCCCTGGGTTCAATGCCCAGTATACCCCCAAAACTAAAATAAATAAATAAAAAGGGCTGGGGGTACAGCTCAGTGGTAGAATGTGCCTGGGTTCAATTCCTAGTACTACAAAATCAATCAATCAAATAAATAAATAAAATGAGGGAATACTGTGATATTCACATGGAAGAGGATGGTTTTCAATGGGATCCTAATTAGTTATAGTCATGTCTGTATGTCAAATGCACTCTACTGTCAGGTATATCTAAAAAATAACCAATAAAAAATTAGAAAAAAAAAAAGAGTACAGCTTTACTCTGAGAAGAACTGTATATTAAGCCACAAATAAAATGACTAATACTGCGGGGCATGGTGTTGCACGCCTGTAATCCCAGTGGCTCCAGAGGGTGAGGCAGGAGGAGCAYAAGTTCAAAGCCAGCCTCAACACCTTAGCGAGGCCCTAAGCACCTCAGCAAGACCTTGTCTTTAGTAACATACACAAAGGGGCTGGGGATGTGGCTCAGTGGTTAAGTACCCCTGGATTCAATTCCCAGTACCAAAAAAAAAAAAAAAAGACTAATACCAAATTCAAGCACACCCCACCTACGCCAGACACTGTGCTTTCTGTAAAGCACCTGACTTTGACCCTTACTCTTGCCATCTTAGGAGGCAGATGGCTTCCTCCTCTCCAGTAAAGGGGGRAAAGGCACAGAGAAGTTAGTGAACTTGCCTAAAACCATTCAGCCGACAAGCAGAGGAGTCAGGATTCAAACTCAAGACTTATTCCAAATCGGACCAGGTCTTCTTCCACATCAGGTCTGTTTGGCTAGCTGAACTCTAGAATTAAAGGATCCGATTCYGTGTTGGTGAAGAGGCGTGCACACGCAAGAGGACCTGCTTTATTTTCCTGTCCTCCCCCTGGGGTCTCTCGAGGCCTCAGAGGTCTCGGGACCACACAGGGCTTGGTTCCAGTTCTGCCCTCAGACCCAGAGGCTCTCTGCAGCAGAATCTGCTCGGGTCCCCTTCAGACCCCAGGACTGAGAGGGGTGCGTTCCGGGTGGGAACTTCCACAAGGCCTTTGTGATGCCAGGCCCCGGGCGGTTGCCAGGGCACCCACAGGGCCTGGGGCTGGGGGCTCCCAGCGCCCTGAAGCTCGCTCAGGCCTCTCCATTCTGGCTGCACTTCCCACCTGCTGGGCGCCTGGGGCATCTTCAGCACTTAGGCCCCAGAAGTCCTGGCCTCGCTGTTCCATTTCCTCAGCTCCATCTCTTCAGCCTTCCACCTCTTCCTTAGCTCTGGAAGCCCAGGCTCCTTCATTCTAGAAACTTCCTCCTCTCAGCTTTACTGCTCAGGTCTCTCTCTCCCTCTTCTCCTTTCCCTTGCCAACTACTCTCACCCTTCCCTTGGGTCCGCCCCGTCTTGCTCTGCTCCACTCCTCCCGGCCTCCTCCTCCAGGCCTCCCCCGCCCTCCTTCCTCCCTTCCACGGCCCCCCCCCACCCTCCTCCCCTCGGCAGCCATGGTCCTCCCTCCTCTGCATCCCTCACCCCCATTCCCTCTTTTAGCTTCTTCCCACCTGCTGATCTGGGTCCTGTCTCTCTCCAGGGACAACCATGGGGTTTGGAGAGAGAAAAGGGACAATGAGGTTTCGCGAGAGGACTCCAAGCCCAAGACCCAGAATGAGGTTTAAAACGAGCAAGAAACCAAAAGTGAAAAGGAAAAAAAAGAAGAAAGATTTAGAGGAACTGAAGAAGGAGGTGGTCATGGTGAGTGTGCCCGAAGCAGGTGGCCCTGAAACAGCCCTCAGCCCCACTCTGCCTCCCAACAACACACCTTCGAGGCATCACACGGGCCAGCCTGGTGGCTCACACCTGCAACCCCAGTGACTCAGGAGGCTGCGGCAGGAGGATCCCCAGTTCCACACCAGCCTGGGCAACTTAGTGAGACCCTGTCTCAAAATTAAAAAAAATAAAATAAAATAAAATAAAAATAGGGCTGGGTTTGTGGCTCAGGGGGAGAGCACTTGCCTAGCACATGGGAGGCCCTGGGTTCCATCCTCAGCGCCACATAAAAGTAAATACATGAAACTAAATTACGAAAATAAACTAATTGACTAAGATAAAAAGAGCTGGGGATGTGGCTCAGTGGTAGAGTCTCCCTGGGTTCAAGTGCTAGTACACCCCCACCCCCACCCCCCAAAAAAAGGCAGAGAGTGAATTACACAGGCTTGAGCTGTCTTCTTCCCCAGGATGCTTCTTCCCCCTCTCCCTGAAAATAACCTGGGGCCACCACCTCCCCCTCAATGACTCTACTGTCCCTGCAGGACGACCACAAATTAACCTTGGAAGAGCTGAGTGCCAAGTATTCCGTGGACCTGAACAAAGTGAGTAAGGAACTCCCGGAGGGCAGCAGCGGTCCCCAACTCTGACCTTGAGGCTGTCACCGTCCCCTGTATCCTTACTGTCCTCACCATGAGTAGCCTTCCTAGAGAGGGAGATTTAGCCTTTCTTTGGACTGGGTTTTCCTGACGCTCACGGTACCTCAGGGTTCTTTCCCAAGAAGGCACGGGTGCTGCCCTGATTCTTCTCAGCCCCTCTGCCCTCCAGCCCAGCCCTGGGGGTATTTCCCCTGGACACCTGGCTGTTACTTCTCAAAGTTGCTTTTCTGAGGATGAAGAGGGAGAAAAGCCCTGACTGATGATTTCTAGCTCTAGAAATCATACTCCCTAACCTCAAGTCCAACGTCCCTATTTCTCCCCCTCAGCTAAGTTCCACAGGACACCGTGGAACTACCCCAACAAAGCTTGGGACACTTTAAGAAAGTAAGGATGGTCCAGGGCTGTGTCTCTCAAAACGTTTTGTCTTTAGGATCCCGTAACTGTTCTTCTCATTTACCAAGGACCCCAAAGAGCCAGTGCAGGGGGGCACATCTGTAATACTAGCAGCTCAGAAGACGGAGACAGGAGGATGGCACATTTGAGGCCAGCCTCAGAAACRTAGTGAGATCCTGTCTCTAAAACCCCACAAAGGTGGGGGTGTGGCTCACCTGTCTCTTTTTTCACCTCTCTCTCCCTCTCTCTTTCTCTCCCCCGGCCCCCGGCCCCATCTTGATCTGCATCCCTATTTCTTCTCCACTCAGGGTCTTAGCCCCGAAAAAGCAAAGGAAAACCTGCTTCGAGATGGACCCAACGCACTTACTCCTCCTGCCACCATTCCAGAATGGGTCAAATTCTGTAAACAGTTGTTTGGCGGCTTCTCTCTCCTGCTGTGGACTGGGGCCATCCTCTGCTTCTTGGCCTATTGTATTCAGCTGTATGCCCATCAGGAACCTTCCAAAGATAATGTGAGTCTGTTCAACGAATACTGGCCAGTCCGGTCTCTGCTCAGCCCCTGAAACTCTTCTGTCTACACCCCTGAAGTCCTCTGGCCTGAGTCTCTAGGAGTACCAGCACTTTCTAAGGAAGCCCCCTGGTCCAACTTAGTTCTCCTTGCCTTGATCTAGAAAGCTCCTGGTCCAGCCCTCTGAGATGCAGGATTCCCCTCAGAAACTTTCTCTGCTTTGCGGGGTACAGTGGCGCACGCCTATAATCCTGCAGCTTGGGAGGCTGAGGCCGGAGGACTGAAAGTTCAAGGCCAACCAGGGCAACTTAGTGAGACCTTGTCGCAAAACAAAAAAATAAAARGGGTTGGMGATATAGCTCAGAGGTAGAGCACTCCTGGATCATCCTATCCCCAGTACTGTGGGGCGAGGGGCGGGGAGAACTTTCTCTCCTTGGATGATCTTTCCAACTGATCATCAAAATACTTTGCAGGCCTTTCCTCTTCTCCAGGATCTTAACCTCTTCACCGCCCCTGTATCCTTACTGTCCCTACTACCCACGGCCCACTCGTGAATAGTCTTCCTGGAGAGGGAGGTTTAGACCTTCTTTGGATTGGATTCTCTTGACCACTCACCAAACTTCAAGGTTCCTTCCCCAAGAAGGTCATGGGTGCTGCCCTGATTCTTCTCAGCCCCTCTGCCCTCCGCTCAGCCCTGGGGGTATTTACCCGGACACGCGGCTGTTACTTCTGGAAGCTGCTTTTCTGAGGATGGAGAGGAACAAAAGCACCAACCGATGCTCCCTTTCCCGTCTCCAGCTGTTCCTGGGCATCGTGCTGTCTGTCGTGGTCATCATCACCGGCTGCTTCTCCTATTATCAGGAGGCCAAGAGCTCAAAGATCATGGAATCGTTTAAGAACATGGTGCCACAGGTAGGACGAGTGCTTAGAATGTGACAGATGAGTTAGTAAGTCCCCTGGAGAATCATACCCTACAAAGAGTGAGCTGAGCAAGGCTAGTGTTGAAGGCACCGGGCGACTCTATCAGGCCTTAAAAACTGTGAACCTCTGCAAAAGAGACGCCACTACCACTAAGTAGTCTAGTCTAAGAGGCACAATAGGAATCTGATGAGGAAATTGCATCCTCACCTCCAAAAAAGAGCATTCTATTAAAAAAAAAATGCATAGAGCCAGGCACAGTGGCACAGGCCTGTAATMCCAGCTACCTGGGAGGCCGAGGCAGGAGGATCACAAGTTCAAAGCCAACCTGGAAAACAGTGAGTCCCTGTCTGAAAATGAGCTGGGGATGTAGCTCAGTGGTAGAGCACTTCCCTGGCCTTCATAAGGCCCCGAGTTCAATTCCAGCACCACAGAATATTAATAAGAAAAATAAAAGACAAGAATTGGTAGGGAGGCTAGATTTTTCAAATGTCAGTGATAACGAATAGCTCAATGGTAGAACATTCACCTAGCATGTGTGAGGTACTGGGTTCAGTTCCCACCCCCCATCCCACCACCCCACACAAAATGAACAGCTGTGGAATTGTTCCAGATTATAGGAGGTTAAAGAGATATGATATTACTAGCCATGCATGGTAGCACATACCTGTAATCACAGCAACTCAGGAGGCTGAGTCAGGAGGATCACAACTTCAAGGCCAGCCTCTGCAAATTAGCAAAGCCCTAAGCATCTTAATGAGACTGTCTCAAAATTTAAAAATAAATAACAAAGGCCTTGGGATAAAACTCAGAGGAAAACTGGCCATGGGTTCAATCCCCGGTATTAAAAAAAAAAAAATGAGATGACAACTAAATTCAGTACTTACACCTCTAAATTTGATGCAGTGCTAGAGGAAAAAAAATAATACCTTTATTTGTATGTATGTGCTGAGGATTGAAGTCAAGGGCCTCTTGCATGCTAGCAAGCACACCACTAAGCTACACCTGCAATTCGAAAATAGTGCTTTAAAAGATATTTTGGGCCAATTGACAAAAATGGAATGCAGATGGTAAAATATTATATCAATGTGAAACTTACCAAAATCAATCACTGTATTGTGGTTATATAAGAGAATATCCCAAATTCTTGGGAAATGCACACTGAAACACTTAGGATAAAAGATCGTGAAATATGTAACAAAACCTCAAATAATTCAGGAAAAAAAGCATTTGCATGCACGTGCACGCACACACAGAAAGAAAGTAATAAAGCAAATGAGATAAAATGTTAACAGGTGAACGAATGTAGGTTAAAGGTTACAAGCATCSATGCTATTTTTATTCTTCTAAAATTTAAAATTATTTTCAAATAAGTTTTTTTGTACAGATACCTGAAAAGAACAGACAGCAAACAGAGGTTCCTAGGCATATATATGCCTTGAAACTTGTAAAAGAATAGGTGGCAAAATTCCCTGACAATGTAATAGCACTATCGCCGAGGATTCTTTTTGGTATCAATATGATTTCATGTTTTCAGCTGAGCATATGGGTTAATCCCAGTGACTTGGGAGGCTAAGGCAGGAAGATCACAAGTTTGAGGCCAGCCTGAACAATTTAGAAACTGCCTCAATTTAAAAAAAAATATATATATATATATACATATATATATATATATATATATATATATATATATTAGTTATAGGTGGGCACAATAGTTTTATTTTTAAATTTTTATGTGGTGCTGAGGATCGAACCCAGTGCCTCACACATGTGTGGCGAGTGCTCTTCCTCTAAGCCACAATCCCAGCCCCTGTCTCAATTTTTTAAAAAATAATAATGAAGGGCTGAGTGTGTAGCTCAGTGGGAGAGTTCCTCTGGGATCCGATCCCCTGAACCATGAAAATAGAATTTTWAAAAAAATTTTTGTCTTTGGGTAAGAGGTTTAAAGAAAGTGTTTTGGTAGTTTTGAACTAGGATTGGAAATTATCAGTTAGCTTTTGCTGCCTAACAAACCACTCCCAAATCCAATGACTTAAAACAACCTATTCTTTCTGRCAGTTCTGAGGCTGGGATATTGTTGTGGTCTGGGCTGACCTCAGCTGGGGCTAGATGCTCTAAGATGACCTCATTCACTTATGTGGGGCCTTGGCTCAGAGGTCTGGGACAACAGGGGCCTTTCTCCTCATGATCTCTGTTCTTTTGGAAAACCAGCTCAGGCTTGTCCAGATGGTGGCAGTGGGTTCCTTTAACGACAGGACAAAGCCCAACATAAAAGCACTTGTGAAGCCTATACTTTGCATCACATTTGCTAATATCTTAAGGCCAAAGCAAGTCACATGGCTAAGCCTAGACTTAGGAATAAAAAGATAGACCCCACCTTTTGATGGAAAGACCAGTAAAGTCTCATTGCAAAGAGTCTTGCAGATAGTGGCTACAGGAATGTACAATCTTCCCCCCGCCCCTATACTCGGGGTATTAAACTCAGAGTCTTGAGCATGCTGTACCAGGCAAGTATGCTACCTCTAAGCTACATCCCCAGTCCTTTTTACTCTATTTTGAGACACAGTCTTACTAAGTTGCCCAGGCTGCCTTCAAACTTGAAATTCTCCTGCCTCAGCCTCTCAGGTTGCTGAGATTACAGGTGTGACCCCACCACACCTGGCAGCAATATGCAATCTACCAAAGACTCCTTCAGAAATATTGTAGTGGGTGACAGTAAAAAAGAGGAGTCAGAGGAAAGAGTCAGGAACAGAAAGTGTTAGAAAAATAGGAAGTAGAAGASTGGGAAAACCAAAAGTTTTAGAAACAACTCTGCCCTGTCTTCCTGTAGCAAGCTCTGGTGATTCGAGASGGAGAGAAGATGCAAATTGATGTACAAGACGTGGTGGTGGGAGACCTGGTAGAGGTGAAAGGTGGAGACCGAATCCCTGCTGACCTCCGGCTTATCTCTTCACAAGGATGTAAGGTGAGGAGAGGTGGAGAGYTAAGGAGGGGGCTAAGGTGGTCTGAAGGTATGGCAGAGACCTAGGCTCAGTAAGAAAAAGGATGATCTTCCAGGTGTGGTAGCACCTACCTGTGATCCTGATGACTCAGGAGGCGGAGGCAGAAGGATCGAAAATTTGGGGTCAGCCTGGACAACTTAGTAAGACCCCCCAAAAAATCAGAAATAGAAGAGGCCAGGGATGTAGCTTAGTGGCAGAACGCCCCTGGGTTCAACACCCAGTATCAAACACACACACACACACACACACACACACACACACAGAGAGAGAAGAAAATAATTTCAGAACCTTGAGAAGTTACTAGTGTGAGTCTAAGGTTAGACAATAAGATGCTGGTTATGTACATTTGTTTCTGTCTATATGTAAATGATGGTAAGTAGAGATACAAATGTACCTGCCTTTCCCCCCACACTCACCTAATGACCTGTCCTCCTTCCCATCCCAGGTGGACAATTCCTCCCTGACTGGAGAGTCAGAGCCCCAATCCCGCTCCCCTGACTTCACCCATGAGAACCCTCTGGAGACACGAAATATCTGCTTCTTCTCCACCAACTGTGTCGAAGGTGAATATTGGATCGTAAGCAGCATAGATTCAAAAGCAGAAACCAAAACAGAAAGATTTCAAGAGCGCTCTGTCTTCTAACGGGATTGGCATAGGAAGAACTGGTGAACAGCCTAGCCTAACCTAGCCATGGCTCATGAGCTGTGTGACCTTTTCATTCAAGGTCAAAACCACCATTTCTACCAGTGCAGTGGTGCGTGCCTATAATCCCAAGACTTGGGAGGCTAAGACAGGAGAAGACCAGTTTGAGGTCAGCATGGGAAATTTAGCAAGTCCCTGTCTCGAAAGAAAAAATAAAAAGAGCTGGGGATATAGCTCAGTGGAAAAGCACCCTCTGGGGTTTTTCCCAAATTTCATTCCCACCACCACAAAAGACCCCCACTTGCACATTTCCACATTTGATGATACTAAAAGTCGTTAGCCTAGATTTTTCTGTGGATGACAAAAGTATTGAGTTCTTAGCACAAGGCCTGATACATTGTAAGTACCCTATAATTATAAGCTATTTTTCTAGCTAGTGAATGACTACCCTCTATGTGCTTAAAACAACACAGGAAGGAGGAAAAATTATTCATCCCTGCTAGATCATTCTTTTCCTAGGGAAGCCCTAACTTCTAACTATCCCTTGTCCAAGGAGGATACTGGCATTGAGAATTTGAGTAACCAGACGTACTCCTCAGACTTTAACTTTGCTCCTAGAATCTAGGGCATCTTTAAACCAGGAGGCAATTCTGACCCAAAGTGGTAATAAGGGACTCAATAGCATTATGTCAATCTCTCCTTTGCCCTTTCCTTTAAAGTAGCCTGAAGACTCTCTGGAACACACTTGAAAACCATTATTAATGCTTAAGAATAAATGTTTGGGTATCTAGAAATAGCTACATTTTATTGGATGCATAAATTCATTTTATTGGATGCACCATGTCAAATACTATCAATGTAATCTCTGATTCTCACAATATTATACGGTAGGTATTAGCCCTATTTTACCCATTAAAGATGAAGACTCAAAGCAATCAATTATCCAAGGGTAAAACTCATCAGAAGAAGGAGGATCATGTATTCTAATTCAGGTCTATTGCCAAAGCCCATGTTCTTTCCAAGACTTTGATCTGAACTAAAAGATTGCTTATCACCTTTCTCTCCCTTCCCCTCCCTCCTCTGAAACTGAGGTTTGAATCCAGTACTAGAGAGGTCATTAACCAGGTACAGTGGCACATGCCTGTAATTCCAGTGACTTGGGAGGTTGAGGCAGAAGGATCACAAATCTGAGACCAACCTCAGYGATGTAGCAAGATTCTGAGCATTGTAGTAAGCCCCTGTCTCCAAATAAAGTTTAAAAACAGGGCTGAAGATATAACTCAGTGGTAGAACACTTATCTAGCATGCACACCTCAATCCCCATCCTCCCCATCCAAAAAAAAAAAAAAAAGGAAGAAGAGTAACTTCTGAATATAAGACTGAATGTGCACTGAATTTTAAAATAAGTGCTATTTCCATAATATGTTTCTTTCCTGAGTGATTCTGACTCTGACTTTAATGGTAGAAATTTCAGGCGTTATAGTACAGCAGGAAGAATTACTTGAAGTCAAGAATCTTGCCAGGCCCCTCATTTAAGCCATGTGGAGAATGCCCACATCATGTGTATGTAAAACCACACCTGATGTCCCAGTTGCCCTTCCGGCTCTTGGAGCAGTGCTGTGGAGAGAAGAGCCCTGGGTAGGCACAGCAGCCCAGCTGTTGTGGCCTGTGCTCCCCAGCAGAGGTCAGACTGGCTCTAGTCAGCAAAGCCAGTCATGGGCTCAGGTTAAGCAGAGCTTCCTAACTACTGACATTCGGGGCCAGACAGTTCTTTGTTGGGGGAGGAGGAAGGTTGGTTGTCCTGGGCACTGCAGGATCTTCACCAACATCCCTGGCTTCTACCCACTAGATGCCAATAGCAGCTCCTCCTAGCCTATTTAGGACAACCAAAATGTCCCCAGACATTGCCAAAAGTCCCCTGCGTGAGGGGTAGGGGGCAAATTGCTTCCAGTTGAGAACCATTCCTGGGGGTGTAACAACGATTCAGCAGCTGGAGGAGGAAATATACAGGCAACAGGAAATATTCAGATAAGTGAAATGAAGACGACCCTTCTTYTTTAAAAGAAAAAATATTTATTTATTTATTAYTCGGGTATTTTACCACRGAGCTACATCTCCAGGCCTTTTTACTTTTTATTTTGAAACAGAGTCTCACTAAAAAGCTTAGGGCTCACTAAATTGCCGAGGCTGTCATCAAACTTGCAATTCTCCTGCCTCAGCCTCCCTAGTCACTGTGGTTATAGGCGCATGCCACCATGCACCTGGCACGAAGACCTTCTTCAAGGCACTTTAGGCAGTAAAGTTGGGTATCACTGGATGACTGGGAGATCTCTTCAGAGACTTTTCCAACTTGGAGACGCTTATTTGCATAATGAATTGAGGAGAACCTTAATGACTGAACTTGTCTTGGTTAACTGCTACTTCCAAAAAGGAAAAGTTTGGGGCTGGGGATGTAGTTCAGTTGGTAGAGTGCTTGCCTTGCATACACAAGGTYCTGGGTTCCATCCACAGCACCATATAAAACAGGAAAGGTTTGCTGGGAACAGTGGCAAATGCCTGTAATCCCAGCAACTCGGGAGGCTGAGGCAGGAGGGTTACAAGTTCTAGGCCTGCCTGGCCCTGCCTGGCTAATTTAGCCAGATCTGTCTCAAAAAAAAAAAAAAAAAAAAAAAAAAGTCAGGGGTGGGGGATGGTGAAAAGAAAAAGGAAAAACAACAGATTCTCCTAGCAGATAAGAGTTTCAGGAGCTCTCTGTCAGGAACTGTGGGCAAGAGCTAGGGCTATCAGTGGTAGAGTGCTTCCCTATCATGCACGAGGCCCTGGGTTCAATCGCAGAGACCACGACAGTATTTCTTATATCTCTAGATCACGTTGTCCCTCTCCTTTCGCCCACAGGAACAGCCCAGGGTATTGTGATTGCTACAGGAGACTCCACGGTGATGGGCCGAATCGCTACGCTCACATCAGGCCTGGTGGTTGGCAAGACGCCCATCGCTAAGGAGATCGAACACTTCATCCATATTATCACGATGGTGGCCATCTTCCTCGGTGTCACTTTCTTTGGGCTCTCGCTTCTCTTGGGCTATGACTGGCTGGAGGCTGTCATTTTTCTCATTGGCATCATTGTGGCCAATGTGCCTGAGGGGCTGCTGGCCACTGTCACTGTGAGTAGACAGGGTGGAGGAGAGCCTTGGAGGCAGACCAATCACCCCCGGGGGAAATGAAATCACTCGTACCTTTTTGTCATCGAACCTTTCACGTACAGTATTCCTGATACGCATATGGGTGCCGGAAAGAATCCAGCTACCAATGTTACATCACTTCTCTTTCGCCTCAGTCAGAGGAAGTGAATGGTGATGGAGGAAGCATTGGTCTGAATTCGAGTTTCTGGGTGTACTAGTGGTGAACTTGGCCAAAGGGTTTCACATCTCCAGGCCTCACTTCATCAGTTTATAGAGAAAGATTAATTTAGAATCACAGAATCCTACCGGAAAGGACTTCCAACCTTTGAACCAGTGTTCAATATCCTCTATAAAATCCATGGAAGATTATTTTTTTTCTATTCCATTTTCACTGTCTCTAGCATTTAACTATTAGATGGCTATAACTTAAGTCTTCATCTGTTCTTGGTTTTTATTTTGTTTTGGTACTGGGGATTGAACCTAGGAGTGCCTTACTAGTAAGTGCCACTAGTAAGTGGTGGTGCTGGGGATTGAACCCAGGGCCTTGTGCCTGCAAGCACTCTACCAACTGAACCATATCCCCAGCCCTCTTCCAACCCTTTTTATTTTTTTTTTTGAGACAGGGTCTCCCCAATTTGCTGAGGCTGGCTTTGAATTTGTGATCCTCCTGCCTCAGCTCCCTGAGTCTCTGGGACTACAGGCCGGCACCACCACGCCCAGCTCCTGTAGTTCAAATGTCACTGTGTTAAGCGGCAAYGTGATTCTGCGTTTTCATCTTCTCTCTTTGAACACCTAAAGAAATACAAAATAAGTTGATTCTCTTTCTTCTACCGTCTAACCCTGTAGATTAATGATGGTATCCATTCCATCCCTTCAAACTCTCCCCAGTGGGAGGAAAAATAATCCCTTTTCCTTTAGCCAATCTTCCTGTGACAAGGTTTTCAGACATCTTGTCTTGCCGATAACCCATTTGGGGTATGCTCCAGTTTATCAATAGTCTTAAAATAGAAACGAGAATAATACCTGGGGTGTTTTGGACTGGCATGAAAACATTGAGACGGGCGATTATAAACAAACTACCACCTCATGATTAGAATCCTGTACTGACCTAACCACAGTCTAAGAATTTATTAGCGTTTACAAAAACCYTGCCACACACCAGCCTTACTTTTAGTTAGTTAGTTAATTAATTAATGTGGTGGCACTGAGAATTAAACCCAGGGGTACTCAAACACTGAGCCACACCTCCCGCTCTTCRTATTTTTAAATTTTGAGACGGGGTCTGACTAAATTGTCCAGGCTGAMCTCGAATCCTCCTGCCTCAGCCTCCCCAGTCCGTGAGATCATAGGCATGTGCCACCCCAGTCAGTTCACATTGAATTTTTGGTCAACAAAAATCTTCTGGTTTAAATGATTTCTCAAGTCCTTTTTCAGTGTTGTAATATTCCCTCCCAATGTCTTCATTTCGTCCTATCTACTTTTTMGACTATTGGTACAGTGTCTCACCCCCAATCCATCCACACATCCATAGCATCCTACACCACAACAAAATATTAGCTATCTATGCAATCGTAGAAAGACTGGATGTTAAGACAGAGATGTGGCCCAGACTTGAATAGAGAGGAGGCTGCTGAATGAAAACCCTGCAAGGACCCTGGGGGAGATGATCACTCTGTGACTCTGGTAAGAAATACACCAAAACTCTTGCCACAAAGCACWAATCAAAATCTCTTCCCTAGCGGGATTTGTGGTGGCACAAGTCTGTAAACCCAGTGTGACTCAGGAGGCTGAGGCAGGAAGATCTCAAATGCAACTCCTGGCCMACCTAGCAAGATACTGTCTCAATATTGAAAATTATAAAAAGGGACTGGGGATGTAGCTCAGTGGTACAGTGGTCCTGGGTTCAATCCTCAGTAGTGAAGAAAAAAAAAAATTACTTTCCTAATTTCCTTTGCCGGGGCCACAGATGAACTCTCTAAGGAGTAGGTGAGAACAGAAGGGAAATAAAATTGATTAAATATCCAAAACACAAAGTCACGTCAGTCATCCATCCCTGGGTCCGTTCTCTCCCCTCTTTGTGGCTACAGGTGTGCTTGACCTTGACAGCCAAGCGCATGGCRCGGAAAAATTGCCTAGTGAAGAACCTGGAGGCGGTAGAGACGCTGGGCTCCACGTCYACCATCTGCTCGGACAAGACGGGCACCCTCACCCAGAACCGCATGACCGTCGCCCACTTGTGGTTTGATTACAACGTGCATGAGGCTGACACCAATGAAAGACAGTTTGGTGACTAGTGGCTTGGTAGACCAGGCATGGGAGGATGGSGGCAGGTGATGAGTGAGCTCAGAGAATGTTGAGCTCCGACAAAGAGGAGAGAGCTTCAAGAGAGGGGAGCGGAGAGAAGGGAGGTGGAGAGGAAAAGAAATGTCACTTTGGGGCAGGATTTGGGTACAGAACAGGATGTGAATAATCCCCTGCTTTTAACTGTGCCCTGTTCACAGTTCTTTCCTTCTCTTTCTGTAGGGGAGACATTTGCCAAGGACTCTGATACTTGGATGATCTTGGCCCAAATCGCAGGCCTCTGCAATCGGGCAGACTTTAAAGCTCATCAAGAAACCCTGCCCATAGCTCAGGTGTCAAGCCTAAGGGGGAAGAGGTACCTCGGTGTCCAGGGTATCCCCTGCCCTCTCCGCCCCCAAATCTCTTTCTTAGCACGCGGTGATTTCCCCCAGACACCTGCCCGCCCGTCCCCACTCTGCCCCTCTCCCTGGGGCCTCAGGCCAGCCCCGCGCCCAGGTGGCACGTTCCTGGGGTTGACTGTACCACCCGTCCTGGCAGCGGGAAACAACAGGGGATGCTTCTGAGTCAGCCCTCCTCAAGTTCATCGAGCAGTCCTACAGCTCCGTGAAGGAGATGAGAGAGAAGTACCCCAAAGTAGCAGAGATTCCCTTTAATTCTACCAACAAGTACCAGGTACAGAACCAACCAAGGTAGGAGAATGGTGGTGAAGGATGGGTGAGGGAGGCAAGGGGGGGAGCTTGGCCTTCCACTTCACCTCTGAGCAGCGGAACGGCTCAGGAGAACCAGCATCACGAGCAGAGGAAGTAGCAAAGGCTGCTGCTGCTGGGTGAGAGTCASGTGGGAGTCACTCGTGGCTGTGACGTGGAAGTACCTGGGTCCCCTACGAGGTTTCCCCCTGTAGAATGAGGTGGTGCTTGCAAGGTGTTGGGTTTCCTTAGCCATCGATCTTTCCATTCACTCCGTGGCTGCTGCAGCGTCAGGTGGGCCATGGCGTCCCCAATGTTGTTGTGAAGTCTTTCATTCCCTGGGAACATTTTTATCGATTCTACAGGGAGAAGTAAACAATAGGAAASGAAAGAGGCTGAGTGAGGGACAGTCCCGGCACAAACAATGAAACCCACAGAGGGACAGGAAAGAGTATTTCTCTGCCAAGTGAGAATTCTGGCAGATGTTGAAGGGAAGGTTCCAGTAGAAAGCAGGGAACAGTGGTRGCGTTACCATGATGCTAACTCTCCTAGTGGGGTCTGGATCCTATGCACACTCTCCTGACTGGTTTGAAGGAACAGGTTCCCCAACTCTCTGTAGTGCCATAAAGCCCCTTCAGGTGCCAAGAACCTGGAGGCGGAGAGATGAAATTCAGTTATGTCTTTCTGTCTTAAAAACGTGCAAGTAGCTACCTACCCAGGAGGCTGGGACAGGAGGATCACAAGTTCGAGGCCAACATTGGCAACTCAAGGAGACTGTCTCAAATTTTTAAAAATTTTAAAAGTTGAGGATACAGTTCTGTAGTAGAGTGTCCCTGGGTTCAACCTTCAATACCATAAATAAGTAAGTAAATAAATAATAATAGTAATAAAACAATACCATCTACATAGATTTTTAAAACCCAATTTATCTACATCTTCATATTGAACACGGATCAAATAAAAGTCATATAGATCCATRTATTTCCCATCTTGACTGGTTTTCAGTCAGTGTAATAAAATAGGTCTCCCAGGCCCAAACTGCAAACATCATTTCCATTTTTTWATTTTTTTCCTAGCATTTGATGGCCTCACTAACCAGACAGGAATTTTGTGGCTTGGCAGGGCCTGRGTAAATCCTTTGGAAAAGAATTAAGTATCTCTCCCTCCAATGTGATTCAAAATAAAATCAAAACCTATTCACAAACAATGTTGTGTGTTCAACAAATAGCGTTGTTCCCTAAAATGACTACTATTAGCTTCTTCTGAGATGCTGAATGTCAAATTCAAATGGCAGGAYGGTCCTCTGAGGTACACCCCATGTGACAAGCCAATTTTCTCTGGGAGGCTCTGAATTAGCTGTTTCAATTAGCTGACTCTAGTCTTTGCAAAGAACATCTTGGTCTGCTGGTCGTTTGCAAAGCTTGGTTTCCTTCCCTCCCTGAGATGGAGATGATATGAAACAGACCTTCTGCCCTGGTATTTCCAGCTTTCTCCCTTCATCTTCTCTATCTATCATCTTCTCTCAAGATGTGATTCTTGCCAGGTTTGGTGGTGCATGCCTAAAATCTCAGCGACTCGGGAGATTGAGGCAGGAGGATCAAAGGTTCAGGCCAACCTGGGCAACTTAGTGAGACCCTGTCTCAAAATGAAAAGTAAGGGGATGTAGCCTACCATGTGTGAGACCTAGATTCCATCTCTCACACCATGAAAGAAAGAAAAAAGAAATCAAAATAAAAAGGGCTTCAGGTACAGCTCCGTGGTAGAGGACCCCTGCTGAGAACAAAAAAAGTGATTTTTTTTTCTTTAATTTTTTGTGACCAATTTACTAGCTTAAATAGGTCTTGCTCTCACCTCCGAACCTTTCAACTCACTCAACAAATATTTATTGCGCACTCGGAAAATTGAGCTTTTAAATCCTTTTGTAGCTTTCTGCTTAAACACGGGTTTTCCTGTTAACTGCTTAAGCGTATTTTGACATGAACTGAGCAGTCCCGAACTGAACGGTTGTAACCACACTCTACACACTGGTCTCCCACCCTGCTCGTCCTTTGAGCGTGCRGTCTGGCCTCCCCCACACTCCCACAGTTCCTTTCAATGGGCTGACTTTGTTCCCAACAGGCAATATAGCAAGCATTTCCTATCGCTCACAAGAGGAACCCCCGAGAGAGTTCCTTTTCATACATCAGAGATCAAGAGAAAATGCAAAATCTAAGCTGATCTTATGGGTCTCTCCTGGTTGCTGTAATCTCCTCAGGTTCACCTCAAGAACATGCCCCTTCTCTGCCCCACCTCACCCTACATCCCATCTCTAGTAGCCCCTCTCGGGACTTCTCATTTTTAGTTCAGCAAGCCTCAGGACTAGGATGCCTAACCTAAAMATTTTCATACTTTTAAAATTTATTTCTGATTGTTATTTTTTTTTTTATGTGGGTTCATTTATTTTGTTTGATACTAGGGATTAAGCTAGGGCCGGCCTCTAGCATGCCAGGTGAGTGCTCTACCAGGGAACTCTATCCCCAGCCCTTTTTATTTTAGTTTGAGACCAGGTCTTGCTCAATGGCCTAAGCTGGCTTCTAACTTGTGGATGGTCCTGCCTCACTCTCCCTCGTAGCTGAGACGACAGACTCARATGTTGTTCATAACTCTCTCTCATAAAAACTCATTGGAGCAGGCAAAGCAGAACCTTTCACATTTTATGGAAGGAACARAGGTTTTTTGCAAGGTCAAGTAGGTTGACCTGGATCCATGAAGCTGTTAACAAGGCATTCATGCTGGCCCTAGAACACAGGTCTTTGGACTCTTAGAAGTTTTCTGCCGACCTGGCTGTGTTTCTTTGACAGCTCTGCTGTTTCTGCTCTTGAGCCATCCAATCTGCAAGGAATCAGGAAGAAGGCAAAAGAGCCCTTCAGAGAGGTCCAGTCTAGCTGGACGTGGTGGCACACACCTCTAATCTCAGCTACTCAGGAGGCAGGAGGATCACAAGTTCAAGGCCAGCCTGGGCAACTTAGTGAGACCCTGTGTAAAAGAGAGAGGGAACATCAGAGTCTTGCTGTAATGGAGATTCATGTACAAATAGTCCTAGTGTGGGGGTCCTGAAAGGGCAGCTGGGCTCAATTTTGAGCCCAATTTGACGGGGGTAATGGGGGCCAAAGGAAATGTCATGTGAAACCAGTTGTGTGTGTGTGTGTGTGTGTGTGTGTGTGTATGTATGTATGTATGTATGTATATATATATTTTTTTAATTTTTAATTTTTAATTTTTTTTAACCTTCTAAACCTTCCTCTTGTTTTTTGCCCTTGACCCTGGCTCTCTTCTCCTATCCCTTCTCTGCTTCCTCTCTCCTCCCTAGTTGTCCATCCACCTTCGGGAGGACAGCTCCCAGGCCCACGTACTGATGATGAAAGGTGCTCCTGAGAAGATCATGGAGTTGTGCTCTACTTTCTTCCTGAATGGCCAAGAGTACCCAATAGATGATGACATGAGGACTGCTTTCCAAAAGGCCTACTTAGAACTGGGAGGCATGGGGGAACGTGTGCTGGGTGAGGCGCTGGGAGGACCCCCYCTGGAAAGAATAGCATCGAGATGATTTTTGTGGAGTGAACAGGCTAGGATGTTGGGGTGTGTGGGAAAAGGGAAATAGAGAGATAACTACTGGTCTCCTGTCTCTCTCCAGGGTTCTGCTTCTGCAACCTGCCTAGCAGCTTCTCCAAGGGATTCCAATTTAATACAGATGAGATAAATTTTCCTATGGACACTTTGTGTTTTGTGGGGCTCATATCCATGATCGACCCTCCCCGGGCAGCTGTTCCTCATGCTGTGAGCAAGTGTCGTAGTTCAGGGATTAAGGTAAATAAACACCTGCCCACTCCAGAAGACCCTCACCTGTCACAAGTTGGAGCAGCTAGTAGAAAGCCTTGCACAGACAGAATCGGTGTTTAATGATCTTGATTTAATTATAAGCTCTGCCTCCTGGAGCTTATCATTTTTGTTGTTGTTGTTGTTGTTGTTGTTTGAGGGGTGGGTGTGTGCTTGTTTTTTGAGACAGGATCTCACTGTTAACAGGCTGATTTGGAACTCATAGACTCAAGTGATCCTCTTGCCTCAGCCTCCCAAGTAGCTTGGACAACAGGCATGTACCATGCCCAGTTGAACTTCAGAGATTTTTAGTCTTAAGAGCTATGTAACACTAAGTTGCCTCTGTRGCTAGAATTCTATGTTACAATGAGCATTTAGAATCACCGGGAAAGCTTGACAAATCTAGGCCACACCCAGACCTATTAAATTAGAAACTYTCAGGATGGATACCAGGCACTAGGCATCTCTATTTATTAAAAATCTTTCTTCAGAACCCTAATGATGGGGAGGCTGAGGCAGAGGAGGATCATGAGCTCAAAGCCAGCCTCAGCAACTTAGCCAGGCCCTAAGCAACTCAGTGAGACCCCGTCCCTAAATAARATACTAAAAAGGGCTGGGGATGTGGCTCAGTGGTGGAGTGCCCCCGAGTTCAAACCCTGGTACCCAAACAAAACAAAAACCCATTGAGCAGACAAGTTTCCAGCATGTGCTTCTCAAACTCATGTACATGTGAATCATTTAGGGGTKGTTTTGAAATGCAGATCTTATTTCATAGATTTAGGGCACCTGGACATTTTACATGTTAAACAAACTCCCCAAAGCTGCTGCTGCTGCTGCTGCCGGCCTGTAAACTGCACTAAGAGGAGCAAAGTGCTAGACGATGGGGTATAAATACACTTCTGGAATGGGTGGTAAGAGGGTGAGGCTAAGGGGGTTGGGAGTCTGGAGCAGGCAATAGTGAGATGAGATAATGAGAACTAGGGGGACTCAGTGGGTCTGACTCAGAGTMAGCAGCTGTCCTAACTGGTTTATGTCCAGGAGTAAAAGCCAGAAATGAAAATTAATTGGTCCAAGGATGAAACTCAGCTGCAAAACAAACCRAAGTGTTGAGAAGTCCTCTTTGGTCAGGGTGGGCCTTGGACTTCATATAGGATGACAGCAGTAGAATTCCTCTAATTCTGAAATGCTGTGTATCCCACATTTTCTGGCTCAAAGATTCACATACGCATTCACAGATTAGATATTTTCTGCTCATACCTTATGTTTTAGATCACTTACATATTCTGGGTCCTAGACTTGGGGGAGGGCAGGTTAGCGTAGAGGGGCTGGAGGTATTTAAGATGGATTAAATGTTCTCTGTTGGAACTAGATTCATACTAGACCTCTGACTGTTGGCAGTTTTTCTAGGGGTCAGCTGGGGCCATGTTTATGTTCAATGACTGGTCSCTAGAGTGGGAACAAAAGAAAGGATGTGGGAAATTATTGTGAATGAATCACTATAAGGTTTCTGAGGTAGTAAGTTTTTTGCAGAGATAGCATTGTTATGGCACGTCTGCATGGAATAACCAGATTACCTTGCTATTCCCCCATGGTTCTATAAACTGTCATTTCATTATGGAAGTTGGGGTTGATTTGAATTTTCTAAGCTTTGGGCTGGGTGCAATGTTGCATGCCTGTAATCCCAGCGACTCGGGAGGCTGAAGCAAAAGGATCACAAGTTGGAAGCTATCATGGGCAATAGCAAGACTGTGTCTCAAAATAAAAAAAATAAAAAAGGCTCTGGGGACGTGGCTCAGTGGTAAAACCCCTCTGGATTTAATTCCCAGTCCCCCAAAATAAATAAAAACAAAAAGAGCTGAGGCTGTAGCTGCATGGTAGAGCGTCCTTGAGTTCAATCTGCAATCCAGGGGGGAAAATTCTAATTTTTTTTAATCCCATTTGTGATGAGATTCTTCAAATAAGAAATCACATTGTGAATGAAACAAACCTAAAATGTATCTCATCTGGGAGTTTACGGATCCTTTTAGCAAGAACAGTCACAATTGGGCTGACAGGTGAGGAGGCCCTAACAAGGAACTCAGGGGTAACAGTCAGGATGTCTAGCAAATCAGGATGTTGTCACAGCCTGAGGCACTCAGTGCGTGATGGTCTTCAAAACTCCCAGGGCTGGCTGTGAGCTGGCAGCTGAAGCAGGAGACCCCAGTGCTCTCTGGCCAATTGTTGGTCACAAATTTACAGGTCCCCACTGCAATTTCTTACTTTCTTCTGGACCCTAAACTGGCAGAATCATTGAGGAAATGAGCATCATCTTCCATATAGGAAAGTACAAGACATATGCATAGTGCTAACAGGGAGGACGACGTGGAATAAACACATGGGAGCTGGTTCTGAAAAGGTGCTGATGGCTGGGCTGATGGATGACACAGGGCTGTTCAAGAAAAGTGGTTGCATCATGTTCACATGATAGCAAAGTTTTGACAAGGAAATGATTCGGGGACTGAGTCTCCCAGGCTGCCTTGTGCTCACAACTTGAGAATAAATGTGATTTTTAAAAATTAAAAAATGCCAGGTACATTGGCACATGCCTAGAATCCCAGCAACTTGGGAGGCTAAAGGCAGGAAGATCACAGGTTCAAAGCCAGCCTTGCCAACTTAGGAAGACCCTGTCTCAAAATTCAAAAATGAAAAGGGGCTGTGGATGAAACTCAAAGGTAGAGTGTCCCTCAGTTCAATCCTCAGTACCACAAAAAAMGAGAAAAAAATTGAAAATGTTCTCATTAAATATCTGTGTAGCAGGATCTCAGTACTATGAACATTTGGCCCTTGCAAAGAACCTGGCCCCCTCTAAGAACTACAGCCAGGCTTTCAACGTTATTGTGAGAGCCTCTGGTTTCCTTACCCACACTGGGTAGTTTTCCTCAGACAGATCTAATCTGAGGGGAGAGGGTAGAAGGAGAAGGAAGAGGCAGCTAGGGGGACAGAGGTAGGGTCAGTACCAAGAAGTTAGAAATGAAATTCTTTCAGTACTGGATGAATTCCAGAAACTGCTAGATGAGCCATTTTCCCCAGAACTATGCCTCTGCTGTATGAATGTATCTCAGTGCTTGGTGGAATTGTGTCCCAGGAACTCACTCTTGGGGTGATTGACTTAGTACTACTATTTCTCAGGCCTGGAATGGAGGTGGTATTGCTGCAAGTTACTAAGAACAGTCCATTTAAAGGATCAAATGAGCTAGGTTCTAGGATTGTATGAGGATGCTATTACACCTTGTCCAACAGGTCTTGGGAGCCACTGGGAAGCTTGCAGGGCCCTGTAAGGTAGAATGGCATCACTAAGCGCTCCCTCTGAACCACATATAGAGGACTTTTTTTTTTTTTTTTTTTTTTTGGTGGTGGTGGTGATGCTGGGGATTGAACCCAGGGCCTTGTGAATGTTAGGCAAGTACTCTACCAACTGAGGTATATCCCCAGCCCCCAAGGACCGACCTTTGTCCCAGGTCTCACCTGCTATCAGGCACTCCCACAGGCCAAGCCTGTGAGGATCCAGGGCCCTTCAACCCACCAGATACTTGACATGGGTGGTCATGGGTTAAAGCTCAGTGCCATTGAACTGTGTGTGGCTACCACAGCCTCGTTAGCACTTTGTTGTCTTCTTCCAGGAAGTCAGGKGTGCCGATATGGAATGATGAGGGCTCACAAAGCCCTCCTCTTTGGGGGAATGCTTCTGCAAGTCTTATTTCCATACTTTGAAAGCAAATAGACTAGCCTCTGCAGGATCTCCATTCTTGAACGCGGTGGACGATTTAGTCAATCAGATGGTTTCTCCTTACCTCCCATGAGAGCTTGAAAACTTGTGTGCCTGGAAGGCTCTTGTGGTCCCCAGGTACCCATCATTCCTTCATTCCCCCAGTCCAGGGYTATTGGTTGATGGCCTACTATGTGCTGTGCATTGTGCCGGAGCAAAAAACTTAACAAGCGTTTTCCCCTCGCAGAGCCCTCAGGCCAGTGATGGAAAGAGAACACGTGATTATGACATAGAAAAGTGATAAGTGCTGAAATGTGGGAAAGAACAGAGTGCCACCAAACCACAGAGCATGGGCAGGTCATCTTTGGGTGGCAGTGGGACAGGACTAGGTACCAGGTAGCCAAAGGTGAGTTGAAACTCAGTGGCAGAGTGAGGTAGTGGGAGACAGAGAGAGGCAGGAGGAGTGAGGACCTGAATGTACATGAAACTCTGCTAGGCAGGAGGGTTATTCCAGACGTTCCTCCATTACCACTTGTTCTATGTGTAGGTGTTCCCGTCTTGGTGCTTRAGGAAGCAGAGTAGCTTCTGCAGAAATTAAATGAAATTCTGAATATAGGTTTACACCCGAATCTCTGACTTATTCCTGGGAATTCTAGAACCTGAATCATCCTGTGTTTTATGGTCTGCTAGCCCTGACTCACTCCCAAGGGTTGAAGTCACAGAAGCAAGGTGTTTGGTCTATATAACAAGTTCTTGGGGGATGAGATACTAAAACCCTTATTGAGTGAAAGTAGAACACGGTTATTCCCGGGGGAGCCAGAAGAAGGACCCAGGGCTTCTCTAAAGACGATTCTGCTTCTCTTCCCTCCCCTCCCCGACCCAGGTGATCATGGTAACAGGAGATCATCCCATTACAGCCAAGGCCATTGCCAAGGGTGTGGGCATCATCTCAGAAGGTGCAGAGACAGCAGAGGACATTGCAGCCCGGCTTAACATCCCTGTCAGCCAGGTGGATACCAGGTGAGACCCCCTTTGGGACTCAGATCTGCCCTCCATAGTTTGCCCCACCCAGATCCCACTTCCCACTTTCAGTTGGTTGTAGGATTGTGGGGTTTACACTTTACGAAGGAAAATGTAATAAGGAAACCACCAAGGGAATGTGTCAGCGAGTTTTCAGAGGGATCAGGAAAAAGGAAAAAGAAGAAGAAAGGAGAAATTGTCAGAAAGGGAGAGGGGATGGAATGTGTCATCTGGGGGATAGTGAATGCCGGCCACCAGTGAAGAGACTGGGCCAAAAGAATCGAGGCATTTCGAGGGAGGGTTGGTTAGAGGGCACCAGCCCCGTGGTGAACTTCCAACCCAGAACGAGCCTGTTGAAATCCTCTCCTGCAGGAACGTCACAGCCATAGTGGTCCATGGCGCAGACCTAAAGAACATGAACTCAGAACAGCTTGACAGGATCCTCCAGAACCACCCGGAGATCGTGTTTGCTCGGACCTCCCCTCAGCAGAAGCTCAACATTGTGGAGGGTTGTCAGAGGCTGGTAAGGAGCCCTGGGGCACCCTGCAGAAATCATGGGGGAAGAGCCCAACCCCAGACCAAGCAGGGGAACCTGTGGGCTGGGCTAGAGAAAAACTCCTTTAAGTAAATCCCCCTATTGAACCTCCACAGGGGCCTTTGGATTGGGCTTAAATATCTCAGGGGAACAGAAAAGAGAGTGGCTGAGATGCCTAGATCAGGCAGGAGTCCAAGAAGCCATGGGATTCTCATCTGTAATTGCAACTACTTGGGAGACTGAGGTGGGAGGAGTGAGTTTGAGCCCTGCTTGGGCAACATAGCAAGATCCCCATTTAAAAAGGAAAAAAGAAAAAGCAATGAGGTGCTGAAATCAAACTGCACTTTGGGATTCGTCCTAGATCTAATACAGTAGAGCGTTCACTTCCTCTTTCTGGATCTCTCCAGGGAGCCATTGTGGCAGTGACAGGTGACGGGGTGAACGACTCCCCTGCGCTGAAGAAGGCTGACATTGGCATCGCCATGGGCATCACTGGCTCTGACGTCTCTAAGCAGGCGGCCGACATGATCCTGCTGGACGACAACTTTGCCTCCATCGTCACAGGCGTGGAAGAGGGTGAGGAGGCAGGATGCCCAGGGTTGGAACTGACCCTTAGACTCAGATAGGTGTTGGTGTATATGACCTCATCCCCTTTGCCCATCATCTCATCTCCATGCAAATAAATAAATAAATAAATAAATAAATAAATAAATAAATAAATAAATAAAATCACTGTATGATAATATTTTGCAAATTAGAGTCAGCTGATACTTAGAATGTCACTTTTTAAATGAGATTGGAATAAAGTCCAGATTTGCCAGGGAGACTGGGACTCTGGTATAGCAAAGTACTTTTTTTGTCCTGTCGTTGGGATTCAAGTGTGTTTGCAGCAAGATGAGGCTGTACTCTTTTTACAATCTCCAGAAGGGTCCCCGAAAGAACTTCCTGCCTGAATGATGATGACACATCAAGAGGTTAGAGACTACCTATGAATTGACTTCATGAACCTAATTAAGCTCCCTCTTTCCCAGAGAAATCTAAAAAAGAGTGCCCATTGGTGAAGTAGAGAACCCCGGAATGCCGAATCCCAGCCTCTGTGCTCTCTGCCTGAAGCTCTCTTACTAAAACATGATGATCCACATAATCATAGTGATTATCTTCTGGGTGCAATGACACGTCTGTAATCCCAGCTCCTGGGGAAGCTGAGGCAGAAGGATCACAAGTTAGAGACCCTGACTCAAATTTGAAAAAAAAAAATTTAAAAGAGGGCTGGGGATACATCTCAGTGGTAAGCACCCCTGGGTTTAGTTCCCAGTCCTRAAAATAAACATAAAAAAATACAGCAGAGAAGGATTACAATCTTTGACAGGTACTCAGAGAAGGACTCAGCAATCTTGCAAGGCAAGAGGAATCATGCTCAGAGGGATAAGGGGCACCCAAGGTCATAAGCTAGTTATGTCAGAAAATGAGACCCAAACCCAAGCCTGTCCCAGACTTGGGCTCTTTCCACTCTCGCCTTAGACCTTTAAAGTCTTTAATACTGGCATTCTCAGACATTCAGGATTAACTAGGCCCAACCCTGCTTAATTTTCAAAGATCAGATAACATCAACCATTTTGAATCCAAGAACAAAGAGTACCTATTAAGGGCACCCAAATAAATCATGATTCTAATTAATAGTCACACAAGAACTCTGTGTAGTGGTGTATAACTGTAATCCCAACAATTTGGGAGGCCGAGGCAGGAGGATTGCAAATTGGAGACCAGCCTGGGAAATTTAGCCAAGACCCTGTTTCAAATTTTAAAAATAAGGGACTTGGAATATAGCTCAGTGGTAGAGTGGCCCTGAGTTCAATCCCAGGTACCACATCATGAAGAGTCATCTACGAAACCCACAGAAATACATAAGTAAATAAATAATCGTCACACAATTTAGAAAGGAAACTGGGACCACCAGGGTCTACTTTGAACTCCCAATCCTTTCAGGGACCATAGCACTTCTTTTAATGGTCTCTCTGACCAGGAACTGGTTATGGGGAGGTCTGTCCTTTCTCTGTGCTTCTCACAGAGAGTTCACTGTCCCCCCCACAGGCCGCCTCATCTTTGACAACCTGAAGAAATCCATCGCGTACACCCTGACCAGCAACATCCCTGAGATCACCCCCTTCCTGCTGTTCATCATCCTCAGTATTCCGCTGCCACTAGGGACAATCACCATCCTGTGCATTGACCTGGGCACTGATATGGTGAGGAGCCCGCTGGGACACAGCTCTTGGAACTCTTGTGAGAYGGATCAGGAGTAGGAAAAACCCATGTCAAGTGAGGAGGGTGGAGATGGAGTTACTTGTGAGTCTCCTTTTGAACTTGGGGGCCCTGTCATTCCCATCCTCCAGGTACCAGCTATCTCCTTGGCTTATGAGACAGCGGAAAGTGACATCATGAAGAGGCACCCACGGAACCCGAAGACTGATAATCTGGTGAACCACCGTCTCATTGGCATGGCTTATGGACAGATTGGTGAGCCYAAGGAGTGAGGGGTGAAGGGAGAGGGAGCAATTGCCTCTGCCTCGCCATTTCAGCCAGTCTGGGAGATGTGTTCTCTAGAAGGCCCTGGGGACACCAAGAACTGTGGATGGCTGATGTGCTGATCCGCCCTTGACTTAGAGCCTAGTACAAAAGGAGCAAATCTACATAAGATGATAGCAYCTTTCCATGGGCTGAGTCACCAGAACAGCGAAGCCCTACCAGGCTACAGGAACAAACCCGAGAGAGCAAACTCAGCGACTATGAGATAGAAGTCTTATGGAGGAAATGGAACTTAACTTGGCGTTGGAGTCCAGCCCTTAGACTCACAAGTATATGGTCAGGTGCGRGGGACCTGAAGTTCACGTGGTATGGTTAGAGAAGAGTGAATTAAACCAGTTTGCTGGCACTYTTAGTCTTCATAGAGAATAAGGCTGCAAACATAGGAAGCATTATATTGCAGCAAACCTTAAAAGACATTTGAGTGCATGGGACGTCTTTGTTCTTGAGTTGCCATAGTGGAGAGTTTCAGGTGGTAGTGTGAGGGATGGACAGGGAAGAGATTGGGGATGAGAGAGATCATCCCAATACCTAGGGGAGGAGAGATGGAGAAAAAGCATAGACTTAGCCATCAGACGTAGGTTTGAATCCCAGTTTCACCACTTACTACCTGAATGACTCTAGACAATGACAATCTTCTGTGTTTCAGTTTCCCACTTATGAATTATAGACAATAGTTCAAAATTGGTGTGAGGATCTGTATCCATAAGGTGCATAGGAAGTGCACAGCCCTGTTGTTAGGAGGTAAACATCAATGTTAGCTATCACTGTGGTCCAGGCATGGAGGACAGAAGTTTTGACGAAGGGACAGGCAAAGGGCGGATGGCAGAGATGTGAGAAGAGAATAAAACTTGGTAAGTGTCCAAATGTCCAAGAGAAATGATCAAGGAGGAGTCCAGCCATCACCAAATAGTCCTTATKAGTTTTAAGATTATATGATTCAAAAATGACTCTGGAGCTGGGTTTGYAGCTCAGTGTGTTTGCCTAGCATGTTTGATGCACTGGGTTTGATCCTCAGCACCATATAAAAAATAAATAGACAAAATAAAAGCATAATGTCCACCTACAACTAAAAAATATTTTTTAAAAAATGAATCTGTGTTAAAAACGAATGTCAGGGTTTGGCAACAAGCCACACAGGGATGATAGGATCAGATGGTCGGTGGCAAGAATCTTCATTACTGCATAGACACTTATCAACCCAGCTGGAAGTCAGCCTCTGCCCCTGCCCCTTCTGTGGTCTGCCTTTGGGGGTCCTCTGAACCAGGTTCCCCAGTCCTGTGACTCTTTCACACACAGGGATGATCCAGGCTCTAGCAGGATTCTTCACCTACTTCGTGATCTTGGCCGAAAATGGCTTTAAACCTTTCGACCTGCTGGGTATCCGCCTGAAATGGGATGATCGCTCCGTAAATGACCTGGAGGACAGCTATGGACAGCAGTGGGTGAGTAGACAAGGTGGGGTGGTAGACAGTGACCACGAATGAGGAAGGGACAGGGAAGAGCTTTTTTTTTTTTTTTTTTTTTTGGTACCAGGAATTGAATCCAGGGGCACTTAACCATTGATCCACATCCCCAGCACTTTTTTTGTTTTTATTTAAAGACAGAGTCTCACTGAGTTCCTTAGGGCTTCACTAAATTGCTGAGGCTGGCTTTGAACTTATGATCCTCCTGCCTCAGCCTCCCAAGTCCCAAGGATTATAGGGATGAGCCACTGCACCCACCTGGAAGAGCATCTTTGAAGGGTGATAGAAGGGGAGACACCAACAGAGTTGATACCTCATCTCCAGTCCTGACTTAGTGATCTGTTTGACCATATTTCCAATCACAACAGCAAACTTCTTCTCTTTGTTTATAATGCCCTA